TGACAAAGTGAACATTAGATGTGTGCATAAAGTCACCACCAGATGGAGACAGAGATCTGTCCACAGCTGCTCATCTTCAACTCTGAACATCTGAATGTCTCTTTCTTACATGTAGCTCTTCACAATAAAAGCGTGTGTTTAATGATCCATCATCAACCATGATGCTGCTGATGGGTCCCTTCATCACAAACCAGTCCAGTCGTTTCACTATAAATACTCACTTTGAATCATCTCTCTGATATCAGGCTTTTCTTCTGCTCTCATTATTCTCACTATTTTATCTCCATAATCACAGTTCAGTTGAACGCTTCACTGCGTTTCATGAAACAAACGAGCAACCAGAGACGTGTTGGTGAGTTTAAAGGACATTTCCTGATGATGAGAAGAGAAATGCTGCCATGCTGGAGGAGCTCCAGCATCATTAAAGACATCAAACACTGCAGTGTGATGCTGACACCTCCTGTTCTCTGCTGGATGTGTCATAAACTGAATGATTCAATGATTTACAGGAACATTCAACTATCAGACACCTGCTTGAACTACATCTTCTGAAGCCTTGCTGTCGTATTGACTTTGGGTTTTATTTTATTGACTCAGATCGTCTTAAATGTTCAAACTAATGTGGATTTTTGTTGGTTATTTTGTCTCAGAGAGCCAGAAGCCTTATTTGCTTCTTCTTTTCTACAACCAGGGATGTTCTAGCAGTGAGGCCACGGCGCTAACTATCGATCCANTTGCCGATGACCAGGCCGACTTTGTTAGCGGGGATAAGGATCTGTTGGATGGAGCTGTTGCCGTCCATCTCATTGTGGAAGCCTGGTCCATACCGACACTGCTCCACGATCTCGCTCAGCAGTCTCTTCGCCTGCCTGGGAGGGTGGAGCGGAGAGGAAGCATTCGTCACCACAGTCACACAAAACCTGTCTTAGTCACATTCCTCTTTGTCAGATGTGAAAGATGTGTCCAGGTGATTCAGTGCTACTAATGAGATGTGAAAAGAGATCCGAGTTCGTGCCCCGTGCGGCAACAATAGGGCACACTTTCCCTAATGATCTGTGCAGTTTAAGCAAATCTGTCAACGTTAAGAGACTCACTCGATGTTCTCTGGGCTTCCGGTCAGTGTGCAGGGCCTGTCCAACATGCCTCCACTGTCTGGAACAAAACACAGCATGTGAGATGTGTTGTAAACTGTATATTCAAGACAGTTTTCTTCATCAAAAATAAAATAAAACAAAGTGGCCTCAAGCAACTTCACAATCAGAAAATCAGGATGACAATACAAACAATATGTGGAACACATACAAAGAATGAGGGTGAGGAAACGTTAGTAAATTGTGTTGATTGATATTAAAATAAAACTAAACAGGCAAGAAAGGCACATATCATCTCAAGGAAGATCTGGTTTATAAGATTACATCTCTCTACCAACTAAAACAGACTAACTTTGTAAGTTAGAAAGTACGATTTAGGATTCAAGGGACTTTATTTGTCATGCCGGCTCACATTCATGTTAGTGGCACGGAATTAGTACTCAGGTTTTTTTTTTTTTAAAGAAAAAGCCTAATAAATAAGTACAACAAAACAAGAGCAAAATATAAGTGAAAGAAAAAATACAGCAATAAGTGTAGCAAAAAAATAGAAATAAACATTAAGAGTAGAAATCCACAATTAGTTGTTTAGCAAAAAGTATTTGTGTAGCAGCAAGGTAGATTGCAATATTACACTTGGTGGTTAAAACATTGCACATATATGGATCAAACTGCACAGAGTTGAGGACCTTTGTATTGGATGACATTTAAACCACTTCCGTAACTGTTAATGTCTGAAGCTGCGTTGTCAAACATCAGAAAAACATGGATACTGTAAAAATAAACTGACTTCAGAAAAACACCTGGAAGAGGTGCAGGACATTATGAGCAGCTGAAGCACAAAATCAACGAAAACCAGGTTTGAGCTGTTCTGAAGTTCTGTATTGTATAATCAAACAAACCTTCTAGATATCCTCCTAACGACTAATTTCACTGTCAATTGAACGGAAATTTGAAGTGAGACTCATCTAAAAGTAAGAAAATACTTGGAAAACAGTTCAAGGATTGAGCACCAGTTAATCAATAATTGCCTAAAAGTTAAAACACATTCATCTAAAAGACATTTGAAACTGTTAATTGTAGTAAATCCTGCTGAAACATGTGGCACATGATCTTACAATGCATGACAACAACCCACTATCCAAACACATGACTTTGTTGAATGTGGTTATATTCCAAAGCATACATACAAACTCATGTTTATCTCCAACATAAAATCACCGGCAAGTTTTATAGGACGTCATATAAGATGCAACAATAAGTGACAAGTATTATTGATATCAGCTAGCGAGGGCAGCAACATCTCATTGGTTAGTGGAGTGTTATGAGTACTGCTGGAGCCAGCAGGAAGTTTTTCTTTTCGCTTATATTTAGCTGCTGCCGGTTACTCATTTATAATCTTCCAGCAAACAACACAGCCACCGTCATCTCTTATTTAAAACATGGTGAAGATAATAATGCCAGCACTACGAAGGCTGCTCTCACAAGATCCTACAAGGCTGAACTCATTATCACTTTACTGCTTTTACGCTCTATTAACTCTCTGTATTAACCTTTTTTAAGCACTATATGCTGTGATTACTTAGTTTATAGGTGGTTTGGGCCAAAATGAGACATGGACCTGGACTTTTCTTCAGGTTCCAGTTCAAAAAAAATATGAAAAGGAATGTCACAAATGATATTTTTTTAAATAGGAGGGATTAAAATGTTCCAAGGTCCTTGTGAGCTAATTATTTCCAACACTGCTGCACATCAACAGGAATATCTGCTGTCCTTCAGGGCCTCACTGATGCAATGTGTTTGGCCTAAACTTACCTGAAGCAATCTGGATCTTACAGCCTGATTCCAGCTGAATTCTTGAGATCTGCTCTCCTCCTTTTCCAATGACTGTGAGCAGGGAGGAGAAGAAAAATGACAGTTTTCAGCTCTTTTGAATTTAGACCGACGCCCTGAGCGGTGACCCAAAAACACTGAGTCGAATGTCAATACTGAGGATTACGTGTCAAATATTAATACAGATGAGAATGAACTGAAAGGCTACTTACTGAATCCCACCATCTTATCAGGCACTTTGAAGTCTTCTGTTGTAAGAGCCCTGTGAGAGATTAGGACACGATCAATATCTAATCATCGACATCTTTAAAAAAAAAAAAAACACAACTGAAAATATTAGGTCTGCAAATAAAGATCATTTTCTGTATTGTTCAATCTGTTGAATTATTTATTTACTTTAGTATTTAGCCGAATAAATGTCAGACAGTGAAACATTTACATTCTCTAGGGCAGCAGTCTCCAACTGTCTTTGCACCACAGACCGGTTTTAAGCAAGAAATTTTTCATTGCACACATAAGAAAATTTAATCGTTTTTTTCTATTTAAAAGTTTCATAAACAAATAAAATTACTTTTTATTGCTAAACATGCCTTTACTTTTTCTTCTGTCTCAGTCTTGAGTCTGTCACACTTTCCAAAGAAGCTCTCCTTTGCTTTTTTTTATTCATTTCGGCGGCAGTTATTCTGACAGCTTCGTTTAATGGCTGAAGACTAACAGACAAACAAGCACAGACGGAACTGACGGGAAGACGAGCTAGTCGGTTTTCAAAATAAAAACACCCTGCAGACTCCGCTGGAAATAAAAACAAACCAATAAAATGTTTTATTCTTTCTGTGCGGCCCGGTGGTCGGGGACCGCTGCCTATGTTGATATATTCAAATCACATGGTCCACTTTTCATTATTTGTTGTCTTTTTTGTTTTTCTATTGTTCTTGGGCCGCTGGGTTGAAAAAAAAAAAAGAAAAAAAGAATATGTCGGCTGTGTTTTCTGAAGTGACAACACTCACGTTTAGTTTAGAGTATTTACTGATATCTAACAATTAGACAGGTTCACTCAGAAAGTGAAATAAATCAGGAATTTAATTTAGTCAAAGCCATTATGAAAAGAAATCACCAGCAAGAACTTGGTGATAACAGAGTAAATTAGCGTGCAAGTATCTCCAATGTCAACTTTGGTCACAAGGATACAGACATAATTTGGATTGTACGGATATAGAGGGAAAAAAAACATGAAAAACTGCCCTCAAACTACTTAACTCAGGCAGTTAAAATGTGAATAATATAGTCAACGTGCATTAATATGAGCAGACTCCTGAGTGTGTTCCGCTCACCTTTGATGTACCATTGCACCGAGATGGTTCCCCACTGAGAAAAAAAGAGGGGAAAGCAATTAACATGTGAGCGATAATCTGAGATCATGGTTTAAAAAAAAACAAAAAAAACACATAATATTTTAAACATCTGCTAAAGCGATAGCCAGCGAGGCAGCAAAATGAGAAAGAATGAGTCAGTGCTGGAAGCGGTGGGAGCAGATGGATATGGTCCTGCCAATCCTTCATGTTTGTGTCTGACCCACAGTGGGGGGCTTTCACCGGCATGGAAATCAGGCCCGCGAGTGTATGAGTGAGTGTTTCAATCAGAGCCGCTCAGAAAGAGAGAGGCAGCAGCCGGGTCAGTGGCTGCTGGTCCTGAATTGAATTTTGACAGGTAGCACCGAGCAAGGGTCCTGCAGGGTCACTGGAGGATGTGCTGCCATGGACGTGAACACCTGAGTTGATATCTCGCGGGTTCAATCAATTTTATGGTTGTTTGCTCTGATTTCACTTCTTCTGGAAAAGCACTGGGGTTAACGCTTGAGAATGGAACAGCTATGAATATAAAAAAGGGACGTGTGCTGACTTTATACAAGGGCGAGACTGGACGATAAATTGGGAATGCCTCGAGTATTTGTACACTGTTTGATAATTAAAGGCTGAGAGCGAGCTGCAGCGTACACAGGTACCAGCTCCCACATGTTTTGGGGACAACCTTGACTGAGGAAAAAACTGAGGACAAATTGTTGTCAACATTCACAGTGCATCCAACAAACATAAACCAGAATTGCATACAATTTTCCTATCCATGCATTCAGGGCTGAACTATCATACAAACAACTGTGACAAGATAAGAGGAAGACAGGATAAATGACTAGTGTTTCCACTTTGTGGATATGAAATGGATCAAGTCCTTGTTTTGTTTGCAAGGCACAGCAGAATAGGATGGCATTTTTTTTCCCTACACTGCAGTGTCGCATACTTAATCCTCCACAAACACACAAATACAAAACCGTGGCTCTCACTTCACAGATTACAGTGTTCTCTCATAGCTCTAATGTACACTGACAGTTTGGCAACATCTACACAGAATCATATGTAACAACTCGTACCAGATGCTCAAGTGGCTAACGAGGGACTGAAAACAAAGTTGTTCACCACTCAGTGAAGGAGCTCGACAGGAGGAAAGAGTTTTAATATCAGTCGATATCCAGTGAGCCGTGACTCGGTTTTCTTCACATTAAAATGTCAAAACTTTACACGTTCCTTGTTCCAGACCTCCGATTCACGGCCAACTATAACGGCAACTAACAATTATTTCAATTTCATTTTAATTATTTTCTCATTTTGATTGTTGATTGACCTGTTGATCAGTTGTTAGGTCTGTTAAAATAAAAGAAGTCAATCAGTGTTTCCCACAGGCCAAGATGACTTTTAAATGTCATGTTTTGTCCATAACCCAAATCTAAAAAATGGATAATATTCAAATTTATGAGGCAACAATAAGAGAGCTTTTTTCTTCTTAAAAAGCTCTGATTGATTATCAAAATAGTTGTCCACTGATTGATTTCATAGTGCCCAACTGATCGATTAATCGTTGCAGCCCGACTGCCCACATGCCAATTTATTTTATAATTAGTCTGATGCTGCATTCACTGGATGCTTTCAGAATTAGAAGAATAACCAATTAACTAAAGCTTTGAAGCAATGATTGAGAGTACAGATGTCTTGTTCTGTTGCCAGAGCCTCAAAAATATTGAAAGAAAATGACCACAATGTAAATCGACACCCTTCTTTAATCATTATTAAAAAATTAAACTGAAGTTTTTTTGGCACTTCATAGACAGACATTAATCAAGAAGCAATTAGGGGGGAAAAAAAAGAAAAAAAGATCACAGCTACATGGCATGAACTGCAACTGTTTGGCCACCGGGGCACTCACAATCAATAAAAACAGCGATTAACTGCTTCTAACAACCACTGCTGCGGCTTCTTTGTCAGCTTAAAAAATGCTGGAAGGAGAGACGTGTCACTCACTCCTGATTGGATAATGAAGAGACACACATTCTGTCATTGCAGCCTGATTGTGGTGGATGGAGCAAAACATGACAGAAAGCTGTAGAGATAACAACTTTCTTCTTTCTACGGTGACACTGATGAACATTTAGAGCTCTTGTGAAGCAGCATAATGTGCTAAATGGGATGTCCATGTGGCTAAAAAAAAGCCACAGAAAAGAGGCTGTGCAATAAAATCTAATATCACAGTGGTGTGTGTGTATGTGTGTGTGTGTGTGTGTGTGTGTGTACTCTAAGGGCTTACCTCCATTGTCTAGCGAACGTTTTTGCCCTCCAAAGCCATAGAGGGAGGGGTCTAAGACTGGAGACGAACTGTTCAGGTTGGGCATCTGGTCTCCTCCCATCTTGGCTGCCATCTGGAGAGACACACACACAACACAGAAGGACAGATGGAATAAAGGTGAAAAGTGGATAAGTGCTAAAAATTCTTTGAACATTTGCCGTTTCCGTTGCGAGACATAATCTCGGACAACAACTCCGCGCGAAAGTGTGACGCTTTCTCTCTTTTTTCGTCCTGCTTGCTTAAAAGCATCGAGTTTGCAGTGAAGTTCAGCCTCGACAAAGCCATCTGCTGTGCAGGGTGTCATCATTCTGACAGCACATGAAAACTGCACTCGGTACGATATTACAGCAGCTTGAGGCAGTCTGCTACAGTTCCTGTTGAGACTACTGATGGCGATGATTCCCTTGAAACATCTGACTTAACTTTTTTTCATGCTTTCACTGACAAACGATACAGATCACAGTCCATATAAAAACATCTCAACTAACTGACCTGTCCAGATTTGTCAAAACATTAGTTTCCTGAAAGTTACAACAGGTATGACATCGACTGAAAACGGATAAAAAAAATACTTTTCCAACTCCATATTCAAATCTGACGTGTTGTAGTAGTAGGAGGGTATGTAAATGAGCAAAGGTGGACAGAAGGTAAACAACAATACAACAAAATATAACTTCATATAAACTTTTTTTTGTTATTGAACAGACATATTTTTGGATGAATAAGTGCCTGAACATCAGTGAGTTGCAGAGTGACTAAAAGTACAACTGAGTAAACAACAACAAAAAGCACACTACACAACAATTGCTAACATAAATTCTACATTTTACATTTAGTTTTGTTCGAACTAAAACCAAAACGGTGCCAATTCAGTTTTATGGTGATGATAGCGTCACTGCTTATTATCTTTTCAGCAATGTATTTAACTAACTAGATTAGCATAAAGATGCTGCTTGACTCCGCACCACCGTCTACCGAGCTATGATGTGTACTCTGCTACATGTGCTGCGGACAGTGCCGAAAGTATCGTCAAGGATGGAGTTGGAGCGCTGTGCTTAAATTCCAGCAAGCACCTCCTTTCTGCATTATGTTATGTGCTATAAAAAGAAGGTTTTTTTTATATTAGTGCATCTCAGACAACACACCTATATATAAACATACACATTTAAATGATCAGGCCCAAGTAATGATCAGCGGCCTGTACATTTCTCCTCAGACAGTTCTGTTCATCTTTTTGAGCGTTCAAACCCATCCACACAACTACAAGGAGAGTGCAGCTATTTGCATTCTAGCTTAGGTATAAACTAATCCGTCTCTACTTTCAAAATGAGTCACTTGTCGATCTAAAGTAGATGCTCACGTTCCGCGATGATGGACATTTAAATCTTCAGTTACGCTGCATGAGAGCACCAACAGCATTTTCCATTCCCCATTAATCTGCCATCTCTCCTTCCACACAAAGTATAGCATTTCAGAAAATTACACTAAATTGACATCTGTGCCTGACTGGAATTTTTTTTTTTTTTTTTTTTTCACAATATGAAAATATAGTGATGGAAATTAGAGTCTCCCATCACCTTCAGGGATGATTATCTACTTCAGAGCCCACCAGTGGAAGCGAGAGGGGTGCGATGGAAATAAGCAGGCATAAAAGGAAGCAGGTGTGGAGTTGCTGTTTCCATGACATCGCCGCAGCTATGTGCATGTCAAGCAACACGAAAAAAAGCATCGAAGACAAAGTCAACGTTTAAGAAAAATGCTTAATGTGAAATCAGCGCCTCTGAGTTTTGATTCACTACAGGTATCTGACAAGTATCTCCTAAAACACCTGGCTGATGAAATCCTCACAGTACGGAGGTAGGCTGTCACGGCTCTGACAGTATTGATGCACTTAGTTTAGTTCCACCAGTTTGCTCAGAAAATAACTAATCCTGTTACATCAATTTTCAAGTCAAGTCAAAGTCGCTACGGTGTTCAAGCAAGCGTTGCCTCACAGACGCGGCTCAGTGTGAAGAAGACGGAAAAGCACAATCACATTAATCCAGTTACACTTTAAAGCACGTCTTTTTCTATCTGCTTAAGGCCTCCGTTGTCACTAAAACTGATGTTCTCCCTCGCTCAAAAGCTGAGGTTTTCAGAAGCAATGTCCACAATGGATAAGTGAAACTGCCAATGTTGTGTTTTAGTAGGCAGGCGCTTTAACTTTTGCCCCTCTGGAGCAAACACGCTTAATGTCAACATGGGCAAACTGGCAGCAGCGTATCATTATCATTACATTACTTCACTTCTTTGCAGGACAACATGACGATTACAAAACAAGGATTTTATCAGCACAGCAGCTTAAAAGCTCGTCAACATTAACTGTAAGACAATTAAAACACAATTTCAGATATTTTTGTGACAACTAAACTGTAAAAAATATGTACACAAGAACTACTACACTGTGAAATCAGGTGCTTTAAAGATGATCTTAGAAAGGTGGAAAAAACTTGCAGAGAAAAAGACATTTTCCATCTTCCTATTTCGTTGTTCCACTGTGAGCTGAGGTATCTGTAAAAATGAGGTGGAAAGGAAATGCAGGCCCACGGTAATGTGATGATTTAAGCCTTTGTCATGATGACTTGCGGTTGTTGTGGGTCTGTAACATTTCTTTTTTTTTTTAAATCTCTCAACTTCATTGCAGTGGGTAAATGAGAGTTTACAGTCAAGCAGTCTGAGGGATTTTGTTGGAAACTGTCTGATCCAAACGGTCCAGCAGCAGAATGCCCTCGGTGTTAACTTGGGCCGCTAAGTAAACACGACTGTGGGCTGGACTGGCCCCCCAAGACGGTTTCACTTCTTGAATGCAAGGTCTTATACAGTAAGACCTAAACATTTTCTCAAATGTCAAATGAGATCGCAAGATTTGTTCTCAAATCTAGATTTATGGTCCACAAACACCAAATCCACGAGCCCTATGGTATGACAGATCCATACTGTTCATGGTTCTACTCAGTGATTTTTGTTGATTTGACAAGAGCTGGTGGGTTGTCTGTTTGTTATCGGTTCGTGAGGGTCAGTGTTAATGATTATATTCAGGATCAAGATGGGTACAATTAGCGACACTGAGACACTGGCAGATGAGAGGTGAATTAGACAAGGGATTTAATGGACCTGAAACATGATTGTGGGTATTCCCTTTGTTTGACTGTTTAATAAAAACAACAACAACAACAAGCTGTTAACATGAAATTCACCAAAAAGCAATTTCAGCTCATGCAGCTTTCAGTGTCAGTGGCTTTCAGAGGCCGGCCCTCGAGCAGGAAGAAGCAAGTAACTGATACAAGTGTGGCTGTGGTCACGTCACACACAACAATGTAAAGAACTACTAGAACATGGCCTCCACTTCCTACATCTCAGGCTAATGCCACATCAGTGTCATATGATACACTGAAAACCCACTGGACGACTTCTCCTTTCTACAGAGTACGCGGTGCCACTCACATGTCAGGTGCAGGCCCAGACCCACAAGTTAACATCAGCCATAAACGCAGCGTGCCAGGTATAACAAGCTTTTTATACAGGTTCATTTATGATTTATTGTGATGATTATCGTTGACTTTGAACACCAGTGTCTGTGGCTCTTTGCAATTATTGACAGAGAAGTGAAACTGAAGCCCGTACAGACAAAACTTTCAAATCATACTTTGTTATGCAGCCAACTGTTCCTGCTCTTGTGGCAGGATCTTATTTCAGTGAAAGAGTTTCAGTGAACAAGATGTAAGCAGACACACAAACAAGTGGAGGACAGGAGGTTAACTTAGAGGCTTTATAGGCACCATGGCAGCAGCTGTTGGGACAGTAGAATATACCTGTTGTGTTATTTGCTTATTTTTAGTCTAAATCATAGTGTATTTGAAGTTACAGAAAATTAGCACCGCACAACAGTGGGAACAACTGACACTGTGGTAATTGGTTTTTCTCCAGTACTTATAGCAATATGGGAAAAAAAATAAATCACTGAATGACCCAAATAAGTCAACTTGGAAAGAATTAATTGTTCCAAAATAATCGGGGTGATTTTGAAGGGGAGCGTAGTTGCAACGAAAATGGAACGTAATTTTAAGAAAGTGGGAAAACACGGTTTAAAAGTCAATGTAACACTGGCAAAGGTGTCAAAAATGTTTTGTGCATTGTACGACATTCCGATCTGCCTTTGCACTTGTCATACAGAGATTTGTGATACTGATTTAGATGTTGAAATAATTCGTCGCGCCGCCTCGTGTAGCTGCAACAACTGCAAGGCGCTGCTGACAGAGTACCTGTTTCTGGTCAAACTCGTTCTGTAGCCCAAAATATTTCCATTCAACTGACTAAGGCTGCATGACTAATGCTAAATGCTAATCACCACTATACTGATCAATACTAAGATCTCGATTATCCTGAATTTAGTGCGTCTTCGCGAGGCACCCAAAACACCTCACTTCCTGCACACCTGCTTACAGACAGATGCCACAATTTACCAAAACAACTCGCATGCAGGCTATTGAAGAAGCTAGCTATGTGGCTGTGCACAGAGAACCCTCTTGTCTTCACTCAGTCGCTGCAGCAGCTCAAGACAGGTGGGCGACTAAAAATTATTTAGAAAAGAGAGAAATAATAATGTCAGATTTTCCCAAGTCGAAACCAAGCTCCCTGCTCGGCTCAAAAACTGCACATCACACCCTGATAATGGAACACCTTATTCCATTAGCCCGCAACTGCCTGGGCCTGTCTCCACCTCCGTCCACACCTGCAAACACCCACCTCCACCTGAGAGACACACTACTGGCAGCCTGATGAGCCTGTTGGGATGCCATGTGAGCCATCTACTGTGAACCTTAACCTCGCCCAATGTGCAGGACCGTCACCGTACTCATTCTCTGTATTGCTCTGGAATTTCTTGATTTATCTGTATAACAAATGTCTAAATTTATTTATATGCATTTGTTTTTCATTGCTGTGTTAACATACAAATTATTACCTGTGTACCTTAATAAATAAGCTAAAGTGGTTCAACTCAAAATAAACCTTTATTTTCCCCTCCGCCCTTTGGTAAAACAGGTCATTTAAAAATGATTAATTACAGTTAAACTTCAACTATATCGCCTAGCCCTACAGGAAAGTTAACAATTTTGCAAGCTATTTTAGCCCATCAGACACAATTTAAAGGTTTAAAACATGCAAGTTGACAAAGCCACACAGGCGGAAGCTAAAGCAGTAGCAGCTATATGACTAAAGTCCAATTTACATATTAGCAACTGTTGTCAGTGATGTACTTATCCTCCACAGCAAACACACACACAGCTCTACTTTTGACCAGCTTAATGGCAGCCCTTAAGCATAGTGACATGTCTGCAGGGGCCACAACGTGACACTGAACATGGCCACTCACAGAAAGGTGGCAGTGAAATGCTGATGGTGGTTTATTGACATGTATTTTTCAGGTGTTTATCAGGCAGCAATGGAAAAACCCAAGAGTGCTCGACAGGAGGAGTGGAAAGGGGGGCTTATTTCAACAGATGACGTTACATTACATGGCCTAACTCCAACGCTGCCTGCGAGGACACACAGTACCACACACACGCTAGCTTAGCTAGCAGCAGCTACACTCACTAACTAGTTGTTGTTGTTCTGTGCGACAGACGCCACATGTTTCATACGCGAGCTTATGATCGAGTCGAGGAGGGGGGAATTAGGTGGTTTAAACGTTAGCAGCGCGTGCGTTTGCTCCTAAGCTCTCCGGGTGTCTCTTTAACTGGGGCAACAACCAGTTACACTGAAGCTAACTTGGGACTTCAAACTAGCCAGCTAGCTTGTGGACAGCGTGTCAGACAGTTGAGCTGCTCAGACTTCGTGTCCAAAGTAAATGTTAGCTCCAGTCACGTTGTGGGTCAACCTGCGGGGCATCCAACTTGTGGTAGTAAGTCAGCAAGCTAAGCTAACTGCAACTTCTGTGAGTTGACAACAGGTTGCAGTGTATCGACTTAACTTACTAAAGTAGCACAAACTTCGACACCATACGAGGCCTCCGCGTCTTGCGTCAGACATGACATGTGTGGCCGTTTGGACAGTTCTGACACGGACTTAACGCGTCTTCTGTCCACTGCAAACTCTAATCTGTCCGCTCAGCTATGCTGTCTCGGGCTATTTAATGTTAGCATGCTAGCTGCATGAGGAGTGTTTATAGTAGGGGGTCCGGCTGCCCCGACCAAAGTCCCGGCCTGCTTCGCATGCAGACACGCTGTTTGTGGTCCGAAAGCACCGCACTCGTGTTCGCTGAAGAGCGTTTTACCTGTCGGACCCGGCGTATCGTGTCTGCGAAGTCATCTTTCGTTCCGGGCTGAGCCACCGAGGCCTGTCCCTGAACCAGCTCCGCCATCATCATCATCCGCCTCGGCAGCTGAGAGCCACACTTAAAAAAAGAGCAGCACACGTGCCAAGCCGAAGCTCCGCGAGCCGCAGGATCTCGCGAGTTGATGGAAGAACTCACATGTCGCGTTGAACAACAGGAACCAGAAGAAGAGCAGCACCGTGACTGAGGAGCTGTTGCATGTACAGTGTATGTGAAGAACAGCATGGCGGGTAAACGTGCTGGAGTGGACAAATGTATGTTAAAAAATATATAGTTAATTAGCATCAAAAGAAAAAAAACAGTCAAGCTGCAATCACTATAGCTGCAACATACATGTTAAATGACAAAGAACATTATATAAAAGTAATAGATTATTGCCAACTAATATTTGTATAAATATATATAGAGAGACAGTTTCTGGAGAAAAAATGTGTTTAAATAAAGATGTAGGAATTTAGATTTATTACACAGAACTGAACAGAGATTTATGGACTAGAGAATGTGTTTTTTTAATATATGCAGACGGAGATAATAACTGTAAGTAGTCATTAATTATCTCTGCTTTAAAAGAAGAAGTTTCTGGGACGAACACTTTCTGTTGATGTGATAATGACAATAAAAGGGCGCTGCAGCATTTTACAGCTTTTTCTTGGCTGTTTTGGATGAAATAAATGAAGGCACATTATCTTTCTTCTCATACACACACACAATATCCATATTATATGTAAACAAGAAGCATGCTTAAATGAACACATTTGGAATGTCTAAGTAAATCATACTGGACTACAACTTTGGTTTTAATAAAGAAAGAAAGAAAGAAAGAAAGAAGTCCCTGTTACTAACACAGCATTTACTTTGTTTTCATATTTTTTTACTTTAAGTGTTAGATAACACGTATAGAAATGGTTTTTCATTTGTTTTTGTTTTTTTAGATGGCTTCATTATTGCAGATTTTTTTTTAAAATGATGGGTCTAGGACAAAAGTCACAACTTTGCTATAATTTTATTATCCTTAATATTTAAATTCCTGACATAAAGATAATGCAAAATCACCAATCAGCACAGATAGTTAGCCAGAAATGTAAGCTAGCTAGCTAGTGCTACAGCAGGCTAACAATGCTGTCTGTTTGTTTTGTTTACTGCTGGTTAGCTATTATATTATTTTATAATATGATGGTATACATATTTTGTCAGAAATCTAAGACAGAGTATAAAAGATTACTGATATGCATAGAGGGTGTTTCTTTAAAAGGGAAGACGAGATAAGCAGACTCAATAAAAATGTTTGCTGATTCATTTCCTTTAATTAGACCAATCAAGTAATAAAGTAGTCATTCAGCTTTGATAAATAGCCTGTATAAATTTAAACATATACACATCAGTATGGTGTAATGGAATACAACTCAGGCTGAATCAGCTCTTCTTTAACTCGATTTCAGCAAAAGCTGTGCTTTATAACCCTTATTGCAATATTTACAGACATACATGAGCTATGATGAAAAATATACTGATCTCAATCTTTGTATGTGTAAAATAATTGATAAGTGAAGTTGATTTAGATATAATTAGGCCTTTACTACACTGGTTGCGTTCCCTTACTGAAGTACTGTGAACTTGTGGGACAAAACAAAACAAAACGAAACATCAGTAAATGCTGAATTCCACTTTTATGCCACTTTCCTCACTAACTAACTTCATTTCTGGATTTATTGGTGGTCCGTATAATAAGTGCTTGAGCAGAAAAAAACAAAGAATCCTAACAGACAGCTTGTGCTACAGGTCTGGGTTTTTGCTAAATATAGTTCTAGTATTTCAATGTCAGAATGAAAAAAAAATCCCATCTGACACAACAAATTGAAAACTGAGGTTTACTGGTCTTCTCCCATGCTGCACATGTGGAAACATGTATTGTTGCACATCTGGAAAATGCCAGCAGCCAGACAGAAGAAAGTAAAATTGCTGCAAATTTCCAAACTGTTTATGCAAAACAGTTCCTGCTCCATAAATTGTGTCCAAACCTCAATGAGGAAAGTCGACCGGTGAGAGCTACAACTTAACGTGTGGTCCGGTGGAGCAGAGTTGGACGCAGTTCAGTGTTCGTACAAAGTTTTTTTTGGTGTCTGATGAAACATTTCTTCAGAATAATGCACTCATAATGCAAAATGAATGCAATGCAAGCTCATTTTCTGCCCAGTGCTTTGTGATATCACCAGGTTTAATCTGTCAGATCTTTTATGTTCACAATATGTTTTCAGGATATACAACTGAGAGGAAATGCACAAGCCTGAAACTTAAGAATTTGTTAAGGTATGTGCTGGTTCTTAAACACTCAAATGTCTGTTTCCCTCGGGGGCTACCGATATGCAACATGCTCCTGCAGCTGCCGGGTGACTGGATGATTGACCTCGAATTTGAGACTAGCAGATTGGCATGCTGCGTCTTACAGACATCCATATATATAATATCAATTTCTCTTCCTAATCAGCCCCTGGGTATGTTATCACCTCCAAAAAAGAAGCAGAGAAATTAAGCGGCAGCTGAGACCTGTTCCCAGACCAGCAGCTCTAAATGAAGACCTCCAATTTAGCATGACTGAAGCCTGATCTGGCCTGCTAACATATTGCTACCATGTGCCGTGCTGTCAATGTATTCAAACCCGGAGGTGACTGGGAAATCATTTTCATCGTCTGGTATCAAAGAGTAAGTCAGGTGGTGGTTGTCATATGCAGCCAGATGCGTACATGCATGATGTGAGAATGGACACACGCAGAGAAACACGCATTCATAGACAGTTATTATGAATTCAGCTTCCATCTGCTCAGACGGCCTGGAAAGTAAAGGCAGTTAAGGCAGGTGTGGGTCTCTGGAGTCCTGCCAATCAAGCAGTGGGAACTGAGTTCGCGTAGACCGAGTGTGTGTGTGTTTGTGTGGAGCTGTGGTTACCATAGCAGGCTGATCAAGTGTCACACACACACACAGCTTCCTCCTTGTCATTGTCTTGCAGAGAATAGATGCTTGTTCTCAGGGTTCACTGTGGTAAAACTGCTGGGTCAGTCGTCAGCAGAGTGCATGTGAGCACAAAGTCAGCAAAGCTTTCGGTCTCTCAAGAAGAAGAAGAAGAAAAAAAAAGTTCAAGAAATCATCAACAGGAGCTGAGTAATTGATCCATTTTCCTTTCATTTTCATTTGAATGAAGTGAAAATGTGATGTTTTTGTGGTCAGGCAAGTGGAATGCATGCCCAGCTGGACAACTGAGCATTTAGAAAGAGGAACATCAATATTGGCACACTTACTCTTTTTAACTACTGAGTTTTTACCTCCTCCTCTTTTCTCCTCCTCAATCTCAGAAGAACAGGCAATGTGAAACTGTAATTGCTTTATAATTGCCACGGTTCTGCTATGGGCATAAATTTCTAAAGGCAGGATACAAGAAACGGTTAGTGTTTCATCCAGAGACCTCTGAGGTATCCCAGCACGCCTTTCATTCAGGAACACATTGTACATATGGAAAGAAGCAGCGAATGAAAACTTGGCTGTGAAAAATAATCATTTTCATCTCGGAAAAACACGTTTATCTTCATGAAAAGCGTTTTCTTAAATTTCTCTTTTAAAATCTTTTGTATTTTTTTATGATCCTCATCAGTTTTATTCTGTGATCCATTGTTGGTGGTCTCATAATTCTTGCATGTTTTACTCTCCATGTGTGGTGCTTTCACACCTCTGTAGTATTATGGGGATCAGGATAGACAGCATAAACCAAACCAGAAATGTTAGTTTTTATTTTATTTACTTGCAAAACCTGGGGCCTACAATACCCACAATGCAACTCAACCACTGACAATGAGACACTAGATCGGGCTTCGAGAAGCAAGTAGGCTTCATTTAGCAGAGATGAAGTTCAGACTACAGGTGTCTGGTGAGCCTTTAAACTCAGCACCTCCATATTTTTTCATTTTCTACCAAACAATGCAACATCACAAAAGGTGTTACACAACTTTTTTTTTCACAAAGGCAAATGTTGTCCCACATACAATACACAACAGAAGTGAGTGTGCCCCTGTGCAATATCACCCCCTTGTAGTGTCTGTATTGTTTCTAAGTTGACAACGTTTCTGTAGAAAGACTAGATTGAAAATACAGGCCTCAAAGTAAAAACTCAAAGCAACTAAAGTAAATACACTTCTGATCACTGACATGCAAGGTAGAAAACCTGAGATTAGTTCAAACAAAACTAAGCGCATACATGACTTCCAATTAGCCTAACTTAATAAACACGGTCTCATGTGAACATCCGAACATTCTCAGTTTTGGACCCGTCGCCTACGTCTATTAGCATGTCTGCATCATGGCTCCACATGGAAAATAACTGTTGAAGCATCTGAAAAAATCTCACTGTGTGACTTCACAAGGATGAAAAAGGATGCAGGAAGATCAACAACCACCTATAGATCCATCCATCCATTATCTATACACCGCTTAATCCTCACTAGGGTCGCGGGGGGCTGGAGTCTATCCCAGCTGACTCACATTCACATCTATGGACAATTTAGAATCACCAATTAACCTCAACATGTTTTTGGACTGTGGGAGGAAGCTGGAGAACCCGGAGAGAATCCACGCTGCAAGGGGAGAACATGCAAACTGAAGAAAGATCCCAGGTGTCCCCACTGGAACGCGAACTGGCGACCTTCTTGCTGCGAGGCAACAGTGCTAACCACCGAGCACCTTGCAACCCCTCACCTATAGATGATCCATAGTATCTAACCAGAGTTTCTGTGACAGCTTAGACAGCGTGGAAAACAGTCAAAAATGTTAGTTTCCATGCACGACATCCAATAAAAAAATCCCTTTGCTTGCTGTTCAAAACAAAACTTTGCTAAAGAACATGAAAGGAAGCCTGATGAATATTAGGAGCACATTCTTTGGTAATATGAGACTAAGATATACTTGCTGGTCTCAGATGTGGTTCAGCATGTTTGCCATCAACCTGGTCAGCACCACCACAGTGAGTGCACAGTCCTGACAGTGAAGCACAGAGGCCGGAGTGTGAAACAGTGTTGGATAGATGATATTCATAGATGAATGTAC